CATTGTTACATCAACTTAGACCTAGAAGTCCTAAAAGAACACATTTTCATCACAAAGACAATTATGAGGCACAAAGAGATCAACTCCAAACCTAAAAGTCCCAAAAGAACTAAATGAAATCAGTTCCAAAATTTGAGCACTACCTAAAGAAAATTGCCTTCCTTACAAGAACAATGGTGTTACCTTTTATTAGATACCCGAAGAATTTAATCTTTAGCTATATTTTCCCTCTTTCTTTCCCTTCGATATATACTTGGGGTTTTTTCTGCATCCACCTCCGTTCCCAAACAAATTAAAAGGATCAAGAACTGATCTCATTGTTCAATTCTTGTGCTTCTCAATTTATACCAACTCATAAGAATGCTATTACTTCTTAATAGACCAAACAGAGAGAAGAATGGGCAGCATCTCTAATTATGAAGGAAAAATTATGAAATTCATGCTGTCAGTGATTTCCAAAATGTACATTACCAAGCCACCAAAGGCCAAACAAAGTGAACAAGCCTAGATATCCGAAGAACCTCTCCATATCTGCCTTTTCTCCTGATCCAGTAGATTTCTTGAGGAGCACTGAGTACATCAAGAAAACCGTACACAGATCAAAATAAGAACCATGAAAGTAGAATTATCAATGTAAAATAGAAGCGACAATATCATCCCAAACCTGATAAATATCCTACCTGTGAATAGGCCATAACACACTGCTGAAAGAAGACCAAAAACATCGCCGATAATGGAATGTTTAGCAGTCCTGTCAGCAGCGATGAACCCACAAAAATGATGCACTAGTTTTAGCCACAAAAAGTAGCAGATGGAAGTAAATTGAGAATTCCCTAATATTTGTAATCCATACAAATTGAAAAGCCAATTATGTCAAGAACCAGACAGGTTAGCTATGACCAAGAATGAAGTAAATATATTGTGGAATTTATTTGTCAGAGGGGCAGGTTATTTTGTCTTAAGTAATATAGAAGCACAACTTTTGCAGTAATAACATATCATCGTATAATGGAAGAACAAAATGTTGCAGTACTGAAGAATTTAAGATGCTATAGATGGTAAACTTGAATAAAGCATCTTCTACCGCTGCACATGTAGTTTATTCCTCATTTACTTCAAATATCATCTTAGTGAAACAATTAAATCCTCTACAAAAATCTGACACTAGTATGGATAGCATTTTTCAGCATAGAATATCTTAAATGAATGTTGGAAAGTTTGCATAATAAAAATGGTTGGTTTGGAAAATCTCAAGACATAGTAACAAGACCTTAATACAGATAAACAGATGCTTATTTAAAACTTACACAGATACACTCAGCATTTCATCTGGAGCCCATGTTTTTCCAACCGTAGTCAGTGCTACACCACTCATACTAACTATAACAGCAACCATCTTTGAAATATCCATTGAATCCTGGCCAAGGACTGCCCCAAAAAGAAGCGTAAAAAGGCCTGATGTAGAGGTCAAAATGGTAGTACTAGCCACACTCGTATTTGCCAGTGCAGAGTTGGAAAAATACTGCAAACCATAAAGCAATTAAGTTGGGAATGCTAGTACTAACTACATAATCTATCTAGCAGAGATAGAATAGGACAAATAACAGCCAGTCACCTAGATCAAGACAGAATATGGCATGTAACAGCCAGTGATCTGGATACATGGTCATTTTGATCCATAATCAGACCAACTCAAATGATGATAACTTGACTGCTCAGCAAGTGTGTGAATTCATTGTCTCCCCATTCTCATCCATCATACATTTTCAAGAATAAGAAAGGACATATCGATTGCAAAATTCTAAATATGGACAAAACAAGTTCTCCATCTTTGTGATCTTTCTGGTTTATACTTTACAAGTAAAGAGAATTCTTTATGAATTTTCTGTTTGGAACGATTTTTGAAATAATCATTTAATATTTTATAGAGTTCCTAACAGGAGATCTTACAGATGCTCAATGCTTCGTATATATTTTAATCAAGCAACAAACATTTATTTTCTAAAACCAAGACACCATAAAATCTAGTACATGGTTAAACAAATGAGTATGACCATGAATCTTGAAGCAAAATCAATTAAGGATTGGGTAGTGAAGCATATCCCTTCCAGAACACATCTGCCAGCTTAGTTTTCCCCCTTTTTGCTCGCTATTTTGTTTTGTTTTTGTTTTTGGGGAGAGGGTGGAGATATAGACAGAAATGTTTGATTTAAGTACTGACAGCAATATATTGTTCAATATGAATGTGTTAGATTATTATAGACAGAACAGTTACCTCTGTTGCAAACCATATGGGAGCAAGATACAAGCTACATTTGACAAGGTCCCATGAGTTATGTTCATCGCCCTTTTTAAGAAAGTGGAACTCATCTTTCTGGTTAATATCAACCAATGGAAAGCCTTCTTTCGGGTCGTTGTAATCCATGCCTGCTATAGAATAATCCTTCAAAGCTCCTTCAGGATGATCATGCATAACATTGAGTTTAAGTGGCACACCTAGAACTGAGTCCTCGTCGAGGAGAAGATTATCAGTGTACAGTTTCTTCAAGGAACTCTGCTCTAATAAACTACATAGCCGATCTTTACAAACTGCTACAGGCAGGAAGATTGCCATAAGAGAGATCCCCAGATATGTAACCGCAAAAGGTTGTTTGTACTCTACAAAAATCTTCTGCAGGACATAAACGGAGTTATCTTAGTATCTCCTGTCCAAAAACCACTGCATCATATGATTGCAGATCTTCGAAATTGAGATTTAAAAAAAAAAACAGAAACCAGTGAACGGCAAAAGGAAAGTTGTTTAGATACATACTAAAAGAAAGGATCAGCACCTTCAGCATAGGAACTACAACATAATGAAACAACATTCTAAGTTTCCCTTTTGCAGCAGCTCTACAGCTTTTTTTACCAATACTCCCCAAGTAATAGTTGTTAAGATACCATTAATGGAAAATTTATAAAACTGACATGATGTAACGGAGACATAATTCGTTTAGCAAAATGTTGGTTTCAGACTAACTTGCCTCAATGCTCTTATATATATCAGTCCAATAAAACATCGCAATAGTGCATGATAAATTTGTTGCCTCTCATTTCTTTCACAACAATTGATAGTAGATAAAGATAATAATAAGATAACTACGCCAACAGAAACCAGAATAAGGTACATAACATCTCAAAGCCGATGACTAATCAAATGATGTTCTTTTAATGTATAAATACAATGGATACTCTACAGGGAGTATAATTCATAAGACCTTGTACGATGATGATCGCAACAACAAAAAATAATTCTACATAATGCTACTACCTGAAATTTGGACAACTATTCACATGACTTTGCCTGATTATTACCAAGTACATTTCAACAATGTTTAGATTTCTGAACTTCCTTATGCAAATGATTTCAGTTGCTTGACTATAGAAACAAACCTTTTCCACTGCTTACCAATATATGGGGCAAAATGTCACTGCAAATCCTTACCTTTCTCTTTTGCATTTCTGCGAGACTTAATGAACCAGACTACATGTTATTCTATAATGTTCTTCATGTTAGAACCAAATTACGAAAGAAGAAAAGGAAATTTTAAGGTTATAATACTTCTTATCAATCTTTCCCTATCTGGTTGTTGTATAAGAAAACAAATTTCGCATTCAGCTATGAAAAGAAACAAGCACTCCACAAAATAAATCAACTATATACTTCCTCTGTCCCACCACAATTTATGTGGCACAGTTGGAATATCGTGATTCAAACTTCTAAAAGTTTATCATGAATTCGGACACAAAAGCTTTTATATTAGTATTATAAATCATAATAACTAAACAACTTAAAATATCAAAAAGAAATTCGTTGTTGACTCTTGAAATTCCAACGGTGCAACATAAATTAGAACAAAATTACTAAGGCTTACCTGAGTAACTTCAGCAGAAGCAACCCATATAAACACAAAAACTCCTATAAGCCCTAATCCAACATTGTATTTCCAAACCATATCTTAAAAAACTCACAAACAAAGTTACCGAAAAATAATTGTAATTTAGAAAAATATAATTGGTGCTCTGAACTAGATAAAGGTAGTAAAATTTGTTAGAAAAAACTCCAGGCTTTTGGTGGTTTTCTTAGGTTGTAAAAAGGGGAGAAAATGTGTAATGAAGAGTTTGGAGTTGAAATGCATTTAATATTGAAGTTGACTGACATTACCAAGAAAAGCTAAAACGTGAATAGTGCCTTTTTATTTGACATCTAAATTCATAGAGTATATTTTAGAGACGTACGGGAGTGACATTGTAACTAACTTTTGTCTGTTTGAAAGGTTGTTACATAGGGCTCCTATTCCTTAATTCACATTTTTCCAGTTTAAGACCATAAGATTTGCTACCTTTGACATGAAAACATTAAGAAATAAAAATATTATATATTTTATTAGAAATCTTTTTACCGTTATCTAAATAAAAATTAATGAAGATTATTATGATTTTATATATATGAAACATATTTTCAGTTAAAAACTTACATTGATTTATCTATTTTAATTGTTAAAATGATATTAAGAAGAAAAAAAATGATAATTTCCTATTTATGTATTTATTAATTAAAGTGATTTTAAAAGAAAAGAAACCAGAACTAAATTCTTTAATAGGGATAGAGCATTTTTACGAAGAAAAGGGTATTTTGACCTACTAAGTAATAATGACATTTTTGAGCCAAATCATTGGCATAATGAGCATTTTTGGACCAGATTAAGAAAATTTACACTATATGTTGTTTATATATAGAGAGAGATAGTTAGATAGATTGATTATGAATTCCTAAATTAGAAGACTCGAGATCGACTTAGCTGTAATAGAATCTCAAAATTCACCTTCACTGAGCTGAAGGACTTTTTTTTTCGTTGGTCGACAATGTTTGAAACGAATCTAGATGATTCGAAGTGCACTATTAACCAAATGAACAGATAGGAAATAGATACAAAAAAGGAAGTGAACGATGAAAAAGTTGCAGGGCAAAAATTGATTGATGTAATTAAATTTAAATTTAAGCAGGTGGTACAAAGCTTCTCTGTCTGAGCAGTTGATGCTTGTCATGCACAATCTTAAATACAGCATAAGGCTTTGCTAGCCTTAAAGCATTTTGAGACATCACTTTTCGTTCATCTTGTCTCGGACCAAACCACTCACCAACTATTTTGGCTATCTCTTTTGGTGATTTTGAGAATTTCCCGCATCCCTTCTCGATAACATATGCCACATTTCCAGATTCCTGCAATAACCAAAAGAAAAAAAGAGGAGATAGCTACGACTACGACACATGGACAGATCAAGGTCTTGAATAATAGGAAAATTACTACTGGATGTCATGTAGTGATCATAGCATACTGGAAATTACTACTCAATTGACTTATAAACCACTTGTAATTTGACTGACATTATTGACACAACTTCCAGGATTAATACTTCTCGCAGAACTTAATCACTTGGATTACGTAACGTCGAAAAGTATGGTATCAGCAAGAAGTCTAACTGAGTGTTGCATATAAGAAGATAATTTACCACATAAAAAGCTTATTGTGAACTACTTAAATGAAGTTTAGGGGTGCATGAAGGTGGAATTTAATAAGTTTGACAGCTTATAGTGAACTACTTAAATGATAGATGAAAAGGGGTTGATTGACTGGTCAATGGAGAGCTTCATAAAGAATATGCAGCAAACCTCATACATGCACCTTTTAGATAGTACAATAAAAGTCTAGTAGAGAACCTGCTAGAAAGTAAAGTTTCAAGTGAGACATACCTGGACAGGAATTTTCCAGTCTACTGAATTCAATCTATCGGCAAGCTTCTTGTTCCGCCCACATATTACAAGGACCTGGCCTATTGGCTCCCCAAGCCTTTTATCTGCAAGTGCTCGAGTTGTAGCCTCTATTGGCCCCATTCCTTCCCCACCACCCATTAGCAGTATGGCAGGTAGATGCCCCTCCATTTCAAGTTCCTTCCTCAATTCAACCTAGCATTTCATAACAAAACAATCTAGAAAACTTTATTCATATTGTCACAGACAACCATCCAGTAATAATAACCGTTTCTACAAATCTGGAGCTGATTCAGTCAAAATTCTCAATATGAATAAATGAGGTGCAAGAAGAGAATCTCTATAAATGGTGGAGAAATTAAAAGATATAGCAGCATATTTACTGAGCATTAGATAGCATCTCTTTTCTACCTCATGACTAGATGTATTAATAAATCATGAGTCCTAATGATTTCAGTTTCTCCACCTTTATATTCAAAACTTCACTTGCTCCTGTCCTATCTGACTAGGATAATTCATAATCCCGACACAATCACAAGCAGTAATAAATAGAGGTGTGAGTTATCTGTGGTCTGATTAGCAGGCCCGTTAGTTCTTTGACGTAAAAAAGAAAGAGGGTAAAATTGAATTAAAATCATGTATTATACTCTTATTAGCAAAGAGTAATACCTAATCTTGAGTTTGACATGATCCTGGACATGGGGGAATTGGAACTAGCTGATAAGCATTGTTGCACAGTTATTGATAATGACCATCATGAGGTACTTTTTTGGTTTGTTTTCCTTAAGCAATCAATTTATATAATTTAAATATAAAAGTTATATATGCTGGAAACGCAGTTCATATGGTAAGGAGATACTATTACTTCCCAAGGTATGTTGTGTTCAGCACAGACCAAATTTATATTCTTATTGCTGAGAGTTTATTTTTGTAAAGATATGATACTTGAGTCTAACTCAACCTCAAAAGCTAGCTAACTCATGAGGGGAGGATTGACCAAGTCCAAATAAACAAACCACCAATCCATTCCCCTACCGATGAGGGACTCTAAACCACTCTTAACGTTTTTCAATAATAGTTCCACAGAGACTAGGCTTACTTTCTCTCTCTTTCTTCACCTATTTACTTTCTTCTTTTCATGTTGACTCCTACGGAGAGTGCAGGACCTGAAAACTATGAAAATTTTGTGTTTCCACAGCATCTATTTTATAGTAATAGAAAAAACATCATATAAGATGCCGATCTTTATGTACTAATATTAAAAAAAAATCTTTAGAGGATTGAAAAAGAAGAAGTCTTTCATCAGTACTTGACCAAGACGGTATCGAAATTATGTAGATAAATATATTAAGATGTGGCTCAACCAGAGTACTTAAATCGAGAAGCATTCATTTTAATTCTCTTATCAAACTGAATACTCCTGATTTAACTACTGTGGTCTTGCCACATCTTAATATCTATATAAGCATGACACCATCTTAAATAGTTAAATCAGAAGTACTCATATTAACTATTGAGCTGAATGAGAGAAATTTATTCATTTCATGCTGACACTCAACATCATACCCATTAAGCCTCATAGTGAATTCAGTAAAATGACATTCAACATGTTTTTCATGATAACACTCGACAGCATGCTAGGGACACTTGTCCTTTATCATATATCCTACAGCCATTCCCGTGATCAAATATAGATTATCATTCAATACATTAAAACGGAGTAACTTCCCATTTGTGAACATATTAGCTTGGAAAACAGAAAATGTCCCTCTTGACAATCTTGCTGTATACTCCTGTTGCAGCAGTAACTAAAAGTTCTTTTTTTAATACAAGGGAGATTACAATATAATCAAAATCAATGCGCAATATGAAAATGTGACACAAATCTGGAATTGTTTCTCTCTTCTGTGGGAGTTTTCCTAGGAATCTTTATATAACCTGAAAAGTTGGCAACTGAGAGAGTGATTGGTGAGAAATGCTAGTGAAATGTAATATGCTTGACGCTATTACCGGGAACAACTAATCCTGATGCTATTACCATGTAAAGATATGACACTTGGGTCTAACTCAACCTCAAAAGCTAGCTAACTCATGAGGGGAGGATTGACCAAGTCCAAATAAACAAACCACCAATCCATTCCCCTACCGATGAGGGACTCTAAACCACTCTTAACGTTTTTCAATAATAGTTCCACAGAGACTAGGCTTACTTTCTCTCTCTTTCTTCACCTATTTACTTTCTTCTTTTCATGTTGACTCCTACGGAGAGTGCAGGACCTGAAAACTATGAAAATTTTGTGTTTCCACAGCATCTATTTTATAGTAATAGAAAAAACATCATATAAGATGCCGATCTTTATGTACTAATATTAAAAAAAAATCTTTAGAGGATTGAAAAAGAAGAAGTCTTTCATCAGTACTTGACCAAGACGGTATCGAAATTATGTAGATAAATATATTAAGATGTGGCTCAACCAGAGTACTTAAATCGAGAAGCATTCATTTTAATTCTCTTATCAAACTGAATACTCCTGATTTAACTACTGTGGTCTTGCCACATCTTAATATCTATATAAGCATGACACCATCTTAAATAGTTAAATCAGAAGTACTCATATTAACTATTGAGCTGAATGAGAGAAATTTATTCATTTCATGCTGACACTCAACATCATACCCATTAAGCCTCATAGTGAATTCAGTAAAATGACATTCAACATGTTTTTCATGATAACACTCGACAGCATGCTAGGGACACTTGTCCTTTATCATATATCCTACAGCCATTCCCGTGATCAAATATAGATTATCATTCAATACATTAAAACGGAGTAACTTCCCATTTGTGAACATATTAGCTTGGAAAACAGAAAATGTCCCTCTTGACAATCTTGCTGTATACTCCTGTTGCAGCAGTAACTAAAAGTTCTTTTTTTAATACAAGGGAGATTACAATATAATCAAAATCAATGCGCAATATGAAAATGTGACACAAATCTGGAATTGTTTCTCTCTTCTGTGGGAGTTTTCCTAGGAATCTTTATATAACCTGAAAAGTTGGCAACTGAGAGAGTGATTGGTGAGAAATGCTAGTGAAATGTAATATGCTTGACGCTATTACCGGGAACAACTAATCCTGATGCTATTACCATGTAAAGATATGACACTTGGGTCTAACTCAACCTCAAAAGCTAGCTCATGAGGGGAGGGTTGCCCAAGCCCATATAAACACACCATCAGTCCATTCCCCAAATGATGAGGGACTTTAACTCACTCTAACATTTTTCAATAATAGTTGCATAGGGCCTCAGCTTGATTTCTCACTCTTTCTTCACCTATTTGCTTTCTTCTTTTCAAGTTGTCTCCTACGGAGGGTGATGAACCTGAAAACTATGGAACTGGTGTGTTTCCACAACATCTATTTTTATATAAATAGGAAAGATGGCATATAAGATGTCAATCTTTAAGTATTAATATTGATTTTTTTTCTTTAGATGATTGAAAAAAAAGAAGTCTTTCATCAGTACTTGACCAAGATGGTATAAAAATTATGTAAATAAATATATTAAGATGTGGCTCGACCAGAGTACTTAAATCGAGAAGCATTCATATTGATTATCTTATCAAACTAAATACTTCTGATTTAACTACTGTGGTCTTGCTGCATCTTAATATCTACATAAGTTTGACACCGTCTTAAATAGTTAAAACCACAAGTACTCATATTATCTATATTGAGACGAATGAAAGAAATCTATTCATTTCTGCCGTAACTGTTCAGAATCTATGCAGAATGTTTGCACTTCTATTCTCAACTCTCAACATTATCCAGAAACCAGCATACAAATATATATATATATATATATTCTATAAATCCTTCATTTTCCTTATCAAAATTCTTAACTCTCGCCTATGAGATACCACACAACCATATAATCCTCTTATTCTCACAAAAAATCAACTAATGACGGAATAAAATAAAAATGGAAATACAATGAACCTACGAGCCATTTATAATTTAAGGAACTACTGTCCATTTAAAATAAATGCACAATTATAACAGACTCAATGTTTCAATTTATAGTCCAACTAGGGTAAGGTGGGGGAACTGCACTTACCTTTGGGCAAACAAGCTTCACAAATGACGGTCGCACAGGAAGGCCAAAAACTTTTATTTGAGATGGTTGGAAGCCAGCATTCAGTGCTCTTCTTGCAACCTCCTCCGATGGACAGTAGCACCTTGTAACAAGTTTATGAAAGCTGAAAGTGGGTGGGGGGGGGGGGGGAAATCAGACCTAGCAGACTCAATGTTTCAATTTATAGTCCAACTAGGGTAAGGTGGGGGAACTGCACTTACCTTTGGGCAAACAAGCTTCACAAATGACGGTCGCACAGGAAGGCCAAAAACTTTTATTTGAGATGGTTGGAAGCCAGCATTCAGTGCTCTTCTTGCAACCTCCTCCGATGGACAGTAGCACCTTGTAACAAGTTTATGAAATCTGAAAGTGAGGGGAAAATCAGTACTAGTGTCCAAATTACACATTTGGTGAATACGTGCAAAATGTACAATGTCAGATGACGAGGGCATATATAAATCAATTAATATGTGTGTTAAATATACCATGTTGGATGACAAGTACATAAATCCGTTACAACAGTAGTAAATATAATCTTCTTTATGACCCCCTTGGACCTCAAGATACGTAGAGGCACATGCTTCATTAGAGGATGTACACTAATAATGATATCCGGCTGGTATTTCATTAAACCTTTTGCAACTTTCCTACACACAGTATGAGAGAAGAACTCTAAGGTATATGACAGAAGCAACTATAGTTAGCAAATGTACAAGTTAGCTAACAGCATACACATGAAGCCTCATAGTGAATTCAGTAAAATGACATTCAACATGTTTTTCAAGAAGATAGATAACAGTGAGTTATTACACTCGACAGCATGCTAGGGACACTTGTCCTTTATCATATATCCTACAGCCATTCCCATGATCAAATATAGATTAACATTCGATACATTAAAATGGAGTAACTTCCCATTTGTGAACATATTAGCTTGCAAAACAGAAAGTGTCCCTCTTGACAATCTTGTTGTATACTTCCGTTGCAGCAGTAACTAAAAGTTCTTTTTTTTTAATACAAATTGAGTATTGTATTTTCTGTCAGCAGAAGGGCAGGCCAAAGTAGGACATCATTATAAATTCAACTAATGAAGTTGTCTAACCTAGCAATAAAAGCAGATGTAGCAGCAAAATTGGATTGATGAACTACACAAGGCGCAGATAAATAATATGTCATTCTCCATAAAGGGTCATATTTCACCAAGAAGTTGTAACTCCTTGGCAATTGGTTGAAGGGCCACAGCGTATGATCAGTCCATAAATCAGTAACAAATACCTGCAATGCACACCCTCTTTAAACTAATAAAACATAATTCACAAACATACACATACACTCACATTCTGTATCATAGCTAACACATATAAATCCTACACTATCTAACAAAATCAATCGAAATGACCTGATGTTTATCTCCGAATTGTTCGTTGAATGTTGCCTTAATGGCTTCAGTAGATGCCCTGTGACCCCCACCAGTATCACTCATCAAAATTAGCACCCTTTTTGGACATTCGGTGAGGGACTTGTCATGTTACAGACCTATGTAGTGATTCTTTCTGATTGAATTGATGTTTATGTTTGCAGTTGGTGGCAACATTCAGAAAACCATGCCTACGTGCAGCAAGATGCTCATGAGTTCTTCATTTAAATGCTGGACAGGATCCATGACAAAGAGGGGAAAGCAAGTTTGGCAATCAAAGGTATAATTTGATGAGAATGGTTCTTATACTTCTTATCTCATGTAGGACATGCTCTGGGGTCTGTTCTTTGATAACGCATATCGTTCATCTCTTTCTGTTTGAAATGCAATACAGTGAGTAGATATAGTACAGATCTTGTCATGTACATGCTCGATTTCCGATTTCAAAATTTCCGCCTGTACTTCTATTTGGGATCAATTTCATTGATGAGAAAATGGGTGATTCATGTATTAAGACCTTGAGAACTTGAGAGTTTTGTGGCTTCCTCTTCTACATTGTCTCATATAAGAAACATTTCTTAAACAGATAATGGAGATTGTCAGTGTATTGCTCATAGGGCTTTCTATGGGATCTTGAGATCTGATGTCACCTGTGCATCATGCGGTTTCACTTCAACTACTCATGATCCTTGTATGGACATTTCTCTTGACTTGAGTGCGTGCAACTCCAGCCGAAAGGATTTTGCTAGTAAGTCCAATAAGCCAAATGAATCTCTTGTAGGTTGCTTGGACCTCTTAACAAGACCAGAAAAATTGGGATCCGATCAGAAATTGTACTGTGAAAATTGTCATGAAAAGCAAGACGCTTTGAAATAAATGTCCATCAAAAAGCTTCCTCTTGTGCTCTGCTTTCATATAAAACGATTTGAACATTCTCCCACCAGAAAAATGTCCAGAAAGATCGATCGCCATGTGCAATTTCCTTTGTCTTTGGACATGAAACCATATATTTATCATCTTCAATTGTAAGAAAAAGATACGGGAACAGAATCTTTTCGTTTGACGGTGATGAATCAGATGTTTCTACAAAATTTGAAATTTTTGCAGTGGTCACACATTCAGGAATGTTAGAATCTGGTCCCTATGTGATGTATTTGCATTTGAGAAACCAATGGTACATATGTGACGATGCATGGATAACTGAAGTCGGCGAAGAAGTTATCAGCAAGGAGCTGTAACATCCGCCAATGTTAAATGGCTATGGAGAGGCTTAAGAATTTGAAATTTTCATTTTTGGATTGAATTTTGAAAATCTGGAAATTTGGCCAAGTATGGGAAAAAAGGTGAGTTTTGGCCAACTTTGAGCAGTCATAACTTCTAGATCAGGATGATTTAGGTGTAGTTCCAGTTATGGTTGCAAAGTTCGTGGAATGATCTTTCCAACGCCACCGAGTTTGCTCGATTCCGAGTTCGTATGAGCGAGTTATGCCCTTTGAAAGTTGGGCAGTTGGCAGGGAATCCGTCCGGAAATTTTAAGGGCATTTTGGTCTTTTCCCTAGCCATTTCTTTTGGGGTTATATTGTTGTGTTAGGCTTATTTTGGATCATTTTTTTTCCCATTTTAAAAGAGTGAGAGCTAGGGCTTGAGAGTGAAGAGGAGAAGAAGAGG